AGAGAGAGAGAGAGAGAGAGAGAGAGAGAGAGAGAGAGAGAGAGAGAGAGAGAGAGAGAGAGAGACGGACGGGAAAGGCAAGTAAAGCAGAGCTTACCCCACAAGCCAAGAAGGCAAAAAACAAAAAGAAAAGACTACAAAACATATTCTGTAGTACCCAAACGTCTGGTATTCCAAAATGTCTTGGCATGGTGCCTGACAAATGCTCCATGGCTCTCTTATCTCTCTCACCATTTGTTAGGCTAGAGGGCATGATTCACAGCTAACACCTCCTCCAGTTTCCCTCCTTATATCAGTATCTTGTTCCGCTTCGTACAGCCCAAAGACATATTTCAGCTATATATCGGAACCCCGTCCCACCTGATACAGACACCAGTGTATCTGGGGACTTAGTCCTTGGGAAAACTGCTAACAGTAGTAACTGCTCACCATTTACCCCCAATTTCATGTTTCTACAAGAACACCAAAACAAAAAAAAAAGCCCAACTCACCACCAAGAGCTTGTGATCTCCATCTACAAAAAACTCACTTCATTCCACCCATCAGTAGAAATCACTCGGCAGCTCTGGTGCCAATCGTGCACACATACACTGACACCAAGCAAGCACCACACCCTCTTCGTAACAAAGAAAGTCTTGTGCAACGAATTCTCAAAGACGACTAATCCTCTTTTCTGACGACGACGATACAGTGTCGCATGCATTATTTAAAAATGGCTTTTTGGACAGAGTCTCGGAAAACCCGAGTGTTAGTATATACTCGAGATTCATTGCGTTCCCTATGGCTTTGGCAAAAGTGCAAACAAGCCCTAGGCCTCTTCTACGAAGCAAGAGAGAGCTACGGGAAAACGAAAAGACCGTGAGATTCTTCCCCCACAGGAGTGTGGAATCTGTGGACGATGGACGATCCCATTATTCACCTTATAAAACACCAGTTCACACGAGCCTACCTTCCGTGCGAATCTCCGACTGGGACTTTTCATAGCAGTAGCCTTCCGCGCCTTCATGATCGGCCAAGGCCCGAATCGAAAAACCTCTCGCTGGGCCCGAATCGAAAAACCTCTTGCTGTATACACACCGGTAACAGCTCACCTTAGGCTCGCGTGAACTGGTGGTTTATTCACAATGAATGAGAACCGGGTGATGCAGAAAGGGCCAAGCCCCTAATTTTCCTGACAAAGTCCAGTGCGTGCACTCATGTATATATGCACCTCATATACAAATACAGCACTCCGCACCCTTTCTCAATTGTAACCTGCGCGAGGCACTTTCCGCACGAGGCCTCACACTGTGAGACTCTTTGGTGGTGGAAGTGTGATAGCAGCAGGGTGAGTAGGGTGTGGGATGCAAAAGGAGAACAGGGATTACCCAATGCACACACACAGACAGACACACAACACTTCACACACACACAGACAGACACACAACACTTCACACGCACACAGACATACAACCCTTCACACTCTTTCTTCATTGCAACCTGCGTTAGGCATTTTTCACCGCAAGGGCCTCACACTGCAAACTCTTTGGCGACAAGTCTTCTTTGCCGGCAGTGCGACGGCACAACGGCGGGAAGAGCATGGAATGGCAATAGGGGGGAGGGAGTTGTGGAGAATTTCCGCTGGTCGTAATCCTCATACCATAAATGATGGATCGCTGCAACTTCCTTGTCGATTCGTAGACTGTTCCCGTATTCCCAATTGCAGATTACTGACCAGACGATCTTAGCTCCAGCTCCTCCGCATAACACCAAGCAGAATCCCGCACTGTCGCATGCAGTGGCTTCCCTGGAAATCAGTGGCAGGTAGCAAAGATGGGAGTGCTTGCAGGCTTCTTGCTACATTTGGTAAACTGGATCAAAACAACTCAATTGCAGTACATCACAATAAGTCTCTCAATAAATCGAAGATCAGGAGAACCTTTTCCGGAACCCATTCGCGTTTCAGCGGTTCTCCACGGATGTCAGGTAAAGTGATTAAAAACTCAGCTGATGTAGCAAAATGAATGAATGCATTTTAGTCGGTGCAAAACCACGTCCGGATCTCGACATATTCAATTCCTTCCCATTCTTCCTCTATGTGCGGCTCTTATCGTCTCATGCATCTCTAGCTCCGCATCTAGCTCCAGCTCGGCATCACACCAAGCAAGGTCTCGTGTCGCATGCAGTGGGTTCTCTAAAAATCAGTAGCAGCCTAGCAAGTAGCGAAGATGGGAAACAAAGGGCAGGCAAGGACCCGGAGTTCACGGGGGAAAGACAAAACAAAACAAAGCGCGACACCTAAGTGAATAAGTAGCAGAAAATCCTGCATTGCGTGCAGAAATTGGTATCGGGTATCGACGATGGGCAGGTAGCGGGTAGTGAAGATGGTAAGGCAGCGGGTAGTGAAGATGAGAAACAAAGGGCAGGCAAGCACCCGCAATTCAGGGGGCCGGGGTGGGTGGGTGAGGGAGGGAGAATGCAGCACCTAAGAGAATAGATATCAGAAAATCCTGCACCCCATGCAGTGGCTTCTCTGGAAATCAGTAGCAGGTAGCGAAGATTGGAAACAAAGGGCAGGCAAGGACCCGAAACTCAGGGAAAAGGTAACCAAAAAAACGCAGCGCCTGACAGAATAGATAGCAGACAACTTCCTGCATGTTGGGACTGTTCTGTTACATTACAACAAGCACACATACTCCACAGTGTCAGTTCGGACAACAAAACTTATCCACAGCCTACAAAACTGGCATGGAGGAAAATAGCCTACAAAACTTGCGCATAGCCTACAAAAAAAAACGACAAAACTCATGAATAGCCTACAAAACTGATAGTGTGACAGAGTGCAAACCTGACCGGTCTGTGACAATGACAAACGTGCATCTCGCCCATCACATCGGCAGTCTGCACAGCGAAGTTGACACAGCGATATTGTGACAGAAACTACCGAGTTCACCTCTGACACGGGAACATTCTCAGAGAAACACGCCAAGGCCAGTGTCATTGTGGACGGCAGACTGACGCTATGGCATGTTGCAGTCCAACTTCCTGAGCGCCGCTCTGAGATTACAACAAACAAGGACAGCTCACAATGCCAACCTGGACTCCAAATGACACTGGCACTGATAAACAGAGATTCGATCACCCTCCCTGCTGCCTCATGCACAGTCAGCAATGCAACAGCCATGAGGTGTCGAAAAGGATGACATGGTGGACATCCCTCTACTCCTCCAAATTCCTAGTGAAAGAAGTATAAAGGCGCACCAACAGCGGAACAAACTGCAAATATTAATCACAGGAAACGACACTTTCCTTCCTCAGTAGCCATTCTGATTACTCAGACAATCGCTTTCTGCGACGGAATCCGCACCTGGAGGAGAACGAGTCTATATTATTGAGCTCAGAGAGCAGAACGGTCCTTCCTTCTTCGCAGCATCGAACAACACCTCCATTTCTCAATCATTCTCATTACGACTGACACATCCGCCTTTCGGAAAGGAACCACCATCTCCCTCATACAGCGACGTCGAATACTGTACGTGGAGAGCAAGTCTGTCGTGAGCAGAGAGGGAGATCAATCACCCACACTAATTGCACGTCTCCCCGTCAGCTTAGGTTGAAGTTGTTCTTCCAAACCCCTTGGATGTGGTGCTTTTGCCAGATGGCAAAGTGCTTGCCGGCTACACGTTTGGTAACCCCGTATCGAAAAAAGTCACAATAACTCTATAAGTCGGAGATTTCTCCGCAGATGTCATCTAAAGTGATCAAAATTTCAGCTCATGTAGCAAAATGAATGCATTTGAGTTGGTGCAAAACCAGGTCTAGACCTCACACGTTCATCTTCCTTCCCTCCTTCCAATATCTGCCCTCTTATCGTCTCAGTCTGTTGTCTCAGTTTGTTCTCTTGCTTGTGTACACACACACACACACACACACACACACACACACACACACACACACACACACACACACAATCTTGCAAAACTCTCACCGCCCTGTTGGTGTTGAAGTGAGGCCGCTCATGCCTGATAATGCTGTCCGAAGGGCTTTGGGGACCTGCCTAGAACAGCGAACAGGTCCTTCATAACCTCCTTCCCTTTGACAAAATTGGTCCAGCGAAGTCGTTCGTTCTGCCACAACACACGCCCAAGACATAATACACAGCGTAAATACTAATCACTCACAACAGCGTGTTCGCCAATCAAAAGGGCCCATGCACTCTTCCACAAACTACTGCATTATGCAATATCGTCCAAAATCATCCATCAAAATGATCTAACATTACCCTGTAATGGTGTGTAATAACGTAATTACCTTTTCTCAGTTTTCTGTCTTTCAATTTGTTTTGTGTGTAATAATGCAATATCCTGAGGCAGGGACCTCCTTTCAGGAAGATCTGTTGTGTCTTGGGGGGACTACACTAAATGCGGTTTCCAGCTGGTGAAGCTCTACATCAACCGAACAGATCATTCCTTCTAGGGAAAAAAAAAAAGAAAACAAACAAAGAAAAAGATCTCAGGACCGAACAGATCATTCCTTTTAGGAAACAGAACAAAGAAAACAAACAAAGAAAAAGATCTCAGGACACAGAAGTACTGTACTGCTCTAGCCACCCAAGTGTATCTGATGACCCAGCAGCTGAGAAGAGCAAGTATTGGTCCCGGCAGTTGATCAATTTCAAGAGTACGTCAACGAGGCCACATTAGGCAGGGGTGAGGGGTGGTATATCCTTCCCACGGGAAGTAATCAATGCCGTCCACTCGGGCCTTCCAACCATAATGGGAAGGAGCGTGCGTAGGGCGAGTATATGATGTATTCCTTTGACTTGCCAGTGGAATAGGAACCGTTCTGATGCTCCCCAGCATCAGAACCACGAGGTTTTTGTTCCCCCTCCCTCCCCTCCCCCCCCTCTTCTCTTAGTCTCAGGAGCTGCTACTGATAATACAATCCACGAGATCAATCCGCGTGGGAAGGCGTTCAAAAGCGGGGCTTGTGGTGCTGACGCATCAAGGAAGCCACAGATCTGTTCGCCCTGCCGGGCTGAATAAGCTGGTAGCCCCCGCCAGGCCTGAACTAGAAAGATTCAGATGTGCACAGTCGATTTCCTTTTTTCACGGAAAATAACGGACAGTCCATTGCCCCACTCCAACAAGCGAGGAGACGGCGTAGAGGAAAGTGAAGTTTTGATTACACAAAGTCGGATTACGAAAGCGCCAAGTGGCTGGAACTTTTGGAGACTCCTCGACCAAAAGGCCGAGGGACCGGACATGTTATGCAGGATCAGTTCTGTTCACAATGGACGCACGTCAGCCCACGAACCACTGGACATTGTGCATGATTACCTCAGGAAGGCCTCCTGGGCAGTGAGAGCGAAGGTCGATCAACCATTTATCCATACGACCTTTTTTTTGACCCGTCACATTCCAGCAGGGGTCTCGATGGTCCACTGGTTACATTTTCTTAGCTGGTCGGACTCTCGCCATGTTTAATGATGATTTTTTTAGCCATCTTTCCAGAAATCTTTCTTATGAATGCCACTAACTTATTACTTGGATATGGAGTGATTTTGAACACTTCAAAAAGATATGATTATCCACCATTAGTGCAGGCTTACTGAGTGTTTTGATGACAATCGAGGGTCATTTGGCCTTGCACTGCCAACTGAACATCCAAGTACAAAATCAAATAAGATGTCATGTCCCTCGCTGGAGTCTGGCCTAGCCAATTCAACATCAAATAACAACGATTTTGTTAAATGCACTTTTTTTTTTTTTTTTTTTTTTTTTAAATGCACATTTTTTTTTTTTTGAACGAAATTGAAACAGACCAAATTGGCCTGATTGAGGTTGAAATTTTTAACTTTTGAGGGTATGGTGTTCTTAAAATGCCGCACCCCCTTGACTCCTGGCTACATATAGAGACATCCAGGGGGTACAGCGTTCTTAAAACGCCGTACCCCTGAACTCCAGCTAAGTCCAGATACATCCAGGGGGTAGGACGTTTTAAGAACGCTGTACCCTCAAATGCTAACAACTTCGAGCTCAATCAGGCCAATTTAGTTGGTTTCAATTTCGTTCAACCAAAAAAAAAAAGACCATTTTGACGAAATCGCTGTTAAATGAAGTGCAAATCTAAGAAACACACAACGGACCGGCCCTCGCTGGAGCGAAGTAGACCAACACGGGTGGCTGATACCTCGTTGGAGCTTGATAAATACCTTGCCGGAACAACACGGGTAACCATCCTTGAAACCAAACAAGGACGAATCAACTAGATGCGCATTCGGGCGGCTGCCATTGATAAATCTAGTCGGCGGCTGTCATTTTGTTTCGGCCTCCTGAAAGGTCGGAGTCCCACTATTTTCCGAAAGGACAAAGGTACTATCGTTTAAATGGTTTTTTAAAAGGGTTCGGAGGGGGACATTCCCGTAAACTCGCTCGAGGTTTTCCAAAGGAGGTATTGAACAGGCTATTAATGAAGCGGGGGCTTGGAACGAAGAAGGAGAAGGAAAGTGCGGTCGTGGTCGCACTTGCCTGCAGTGCTCGCCATCATGTTGCTGCGGAAAAAAATTCACGGTGCTTTCCAGTCCATCATGATACGGTGGTCGTTACCTACCAACCTATGGTGAGGTGAATGTGAGTGTTGTTTTGGCTATGGGGGCGAAGTGCGAGAGGATAAACCAGGACCGAGAGAGCGAAATAAGGTCTGCGAGGTGAGGAGAAAGGCAAAGTGAGGAGAAGTTGGTCGAGTCCGGATGTCAGGTTTTGATGCGTGTGTGGGGGATTAAAGCAGCGCGGAATAGTTCGGGTAAAGGTGTGTTTATGTAATTATTCAATTGTACTTGTATTGTTATCAATTGACTAGTAAAGTGATTTGAAATTTCAAACTGATTTCCCTTTTCAATAAAGGGGAACTGATTCAGTGTTGCATACCCCGACAGTCGGCGCCCTTCGACTGGCTGGCTGGTCGGCACCTGCCGGTCATGGGTCATCGGCACCTCTAAAAAAAAAAAAAAAAAAAAAATCGGAAAAAATGATAAAAATCCCCATATATTTTCTTTCTTTCTGGGAGTCCATAACCCCCAATAACCCCATAAAAACCCCCATACCCACCCCCAATACCCCCATAACCCCCCCAACACCCTCAAACCGCCCCCCAACACCCTTATTACCTGTCTCTTATACACATCTAGATGTGTATAAGAGACAGCCCCTATACCACCCCTATACCCCCCCATACTCCAACTCATCCCCCCCATAACCCCCCCATCCCCGAAAGTTTCTCAGCGGATTAGGGCCTGTCTCTTATACACATCTAGATGTGTATAAGAGACAGGCCCAATACAGTCCCAAACTCAGATTTGAAAAAAAAATCTGGGGATGGCTGCTTTCTGACTGGTCGGCAGACCACCCACCAGTCGGCGGTCGGCAGGTATGCAACGCTGAACTGATTTGAAATTTTGAACTGATTTCCCCTTCAAAATTTTGAACTGATTTCAGATTTCAACACATACACAAGCCTAACATTGTTAAAGGATGCCTAAGTGGGGGGACCAGTGCAGACAAACACAAGATGATCTGGACAGAAGAGTAAACAGTGCAACCAAGAAAAGCTGAGAAATCCTCCAGCTGGACGGACAACCAGCCTACCAGATCTGCCAAATGGCCAGTTGCCTGACATATGGGGAGATGAAGAGCAGGAGCGCCAAGTGTCTTCTCCAAGAACGATACCACCGGGATGGTGCTTCCCTCACACACATACCTGCATCCAATTATATCAATATAGTTAATACGGTTCCATCAGAAGGCCCATTGGCAACAGCAATAAGCAACCACAAGCTCGTAAAACTGCAAAATACTTCGCAAGCGATCTGAGTATTCCTCTGAAGGGAGCGCCGCCCATGAGATCGAGGGACGTCAAATCTCACAGGCAAGCAGTAGGTTAACTTCAGGGTTCTGTAAACTCCCCTTCCCTGACCCGTAAAACAACACTGTAATGACATCAAGATAAAATCATAAAAAACAGAAAAAGAAAGACAAACGGTAAAACGGCAGTGTTCTTCCCCTAACTTCAGACTACTTGTAGCAACAGAAAGACGAACACTAGTGTCCTTTCCCTGGGCCCAAATAGAGGATTCTGGCCATTCCCACAGAAAACTGGATTCCGGCCATTTCCGCAGAAAACTACATACACGCAACAACTGAGAGAGGATCAGTCGAGGAGAAAAAGACCGTTGCTGCCTGGCTTTGTCATGATTTCCGTGAAGAATATTATTCCCCATCTCCCCTTCCCTCCCTCCTGCCCCCTCCCGTCTTCCTTCCCAAATCTGCTCCACTGTGTCTAGATCATTTCCACAAAGTGACATGTTCATCCTCCTCCTCCTGACCGTCAACTACATGTACACCGTGGTGAAGACCAACCTGGCAACCTGTCATTTTGTGTGGTTGCAGACTCTTCTTGACGTTGTCAGGTGCAAACAACAGGAAGAAAGCTCCCTCCCACACTAGGATGAGCACAAATTTGCAATGGCTTTTTGTGTGTGTTATGCTCATGGGCGGTCATGCTAATCTTCTCCGAATGATTCCAATTTTAACGGATACCCCAAAGGGTATATTGTAATTTGTGAATGCCTTCCAAGTTTAGCCGAGATGTTTAAAAAAAAATTGGGAAGAAAACGTAAAAAGCTTTATTAGAGGGAAGAAAAGGTAATAAGTCATGGACTTGTCTTCATATGGAGTATTATAGACCATGCCAACAACTGAGCATGGAATATACAAAGAGGGTGGAAGAGTCCAAAGCAACATCAACAGTCAATGACGAATGACCTGTCGTTGCGAAGTGAGGATGATATACTGATTCAGACAATCTATTTACCATCAGTAACAGATATAGTATAGATACTATAGAATCTATAGATTGACGTTTGGGGGCAATTTCTCCACAGCTGCTTTTCATTTAGTTGCAAATAGTCACTGCAGCGAGTTGATCAATACAATTCAATAGTCAATAGCAAAGCTTCAAACTTCTGCGCTCGGCTATTTACTATTTAGTATTTAGTATTTAGTAAATAGTAAATACTAAAAATAGCCACCACAGGCCTTCCTAAACTCGAGTATGGAAAAGATGGGAGTAGGTCCGATCTTCAGAAAATGGGTACGTATCCTGTACAATGATGCAATTGGCTGTGTACAAGTCAACGGCATGCTATCAGAATGCTACCCAATCTCACGATCAGTCCGTCAGGGCGATCCTTTAGCCCCCCCTATCTTCCTCTTCGTTATGGAAGCGATAGCCTCCTTCCTACGGAAAGACCCTTCCATTCACAGACTGCCAGAAATCAACGCAGGATCAGCCCACCATCTAAAGTTCCCAACAGTTATAATGTTTGCAGACGACCTCACGGTTCTCATACGAGCCTCAGACTCGTCCTTCAGTGCTCTAGTAAGAGCTATGGAAGCCTTCAGACTTGCCTCGGAAATGAAGATTAACTGGAAAAAAACGATTGGGTGGTGGTTGTCAGAGGAAGAACCCCCACAGCTCCAAGGCCCAGAGGCAACGTTGACCTGGGAGACACCGGAAACACCTACACAGTACCTAGGGATCCTGATGACAAAAGAAGGCTTTGCTCCCCAAATGGCCCAGAATATGCTGACTAAACAAATCAATAAAATGGGCAGGTGGGGGCAACACCTTCACATCTCTGCTTGGACGCGCCTTAACCCTCAACACCTCTATCTTTTCTATGATGTGGTATATAGCCTCAATCTGGACTGTACCAGACAAGTCAATCAAGGAACTCGATCGGGTAGCAAGGGCCTACCTATGGTCTGGTGACCCCAACAGAGTTAACTGCATCCCTAAGATAGCATGGCATTACATAACAAGGAAACCAAGTAAAGGAGGATTGGGGATCATCGACCCCAAACAAGAAACCAAAGCCCTTCAGGTCAAATTGATCATTAAACTGCTTACAAAACCAGGCACAGCTTGGAATAAACTAGCCCTGGATAGCATCAGAGAACTAGCTCCGGTACCTACACCAACAAACATGTCAGGTCTCTTCTGGGTTATGAACAAGGAATGGACACCCAGCACAGGACGTAGAAACCGCCGACAAGGTAACAATCACCCGGAGAACAGAACCCCCACACCCTACTGGACGTCCCTGCTAAGGATCTGGAGAGAAATTATGCCGAAAAAAGTCGGCAGGCCCAAGACGAGAGAAGAGGTACTGAGGCAACCCCTCTTTAGCAACCCCTGGTTGAGAGATGAAAGTGGTCTCCCCTTCTCTCTCAAGCCAAGAGGCACACGTCGGCTATCATGGATAAAGCACGGAGTCTGGAAAATCGAACATTTATGGAATGAAGAAAAAAGGGATTGGGTAACAGACATTGACCTTGCCGCCCTCCTCAAGGGCTGTCACCAACGGGAGAGGAATCTACAGGCCATCATCAGCAACATTCCGGAAGGATGGAAAGATCTCTTAAAGAGCCCACCAGCATGGAAAACGGGTGAATGGGGGGTTCGGCTACAGGAAATGCCCCCCTCAAGGGCCTATCAATTCTCACACAAACAACAGGGTTCAAACACTGTTGCAATTTTCAACTCCTATCCAATATCGCTGTCGGTGCAGGGTTCGGCCTCCATC